CCCCTGATCTCAAATTTAATGATCAGCAAAGCAAAAATAATCAATCGACCAACTTTTAAAGAAAGTTATACAAAAACCACAAGGACAACGCCCGAATTTTTTACAGACCGATTGGCTATATTTCGGAGATCATTTCCATATTAGGAAATAATATGCTCGGAGAAAATTTTATATATAGTTGGCTCGGCCTAAAGATCTCCTAAATTTTGGGAAAACTTTAAAAGTATAGAAGTCACTTTCTATCCTATCTTTTAAAAGAATAGCTCTATTAGTTTATAGAATATGTGTTTAGTTTTAATGTAATAAAGAGATTTTCTCAAAAAATTCTTTGTTGTAGAGTTATATTCTTTTTTAAAACATGTACTCTACTATGTTCATGAAAAATTTGAGCGCTAGTATCATTTCTAAATTTAGACTAGTTTTTGATCATCATTACGAAATTTAGACTAATATCGACATCATATCTAAATTTAGCAGTAAAGGAAATAATTTTTTAATCAAAATCACGTGAAACCCTTTTTTCTAAAAATTTTATTGCATTTTTGAACGAATCACGAAATCGCAATTTTTTGAAATTTGAGTACGTGGCGCAGCATCATGAGGTCTTTAGATCGAGCCAACCATATCAGAAAAGTTTTATCAGCTATCAATAGCCAATTAGCCATTTAACAGAAAATTACAAAAATAATGAAGGTCATTTGTTCAAGATCAACATCCAATAAATGTAACCCCCAAGTTAGCTCATAGAAAACAAATTATTAAGGATACTACCATCTGCCATGTTGACACTACTGTGAAGAATCTCTCCAGTTACTCATCAATATGGAAGTAACTAGCAAATTTTATTTTTAAAATTTACTCCTCAAACCAAAAATGCAAAAAATTTATAACCTGCAAAATAATTGGTTTATTTTACTAGTTGAGCAATATGTCACAGGAAGTGTAATTACATATATAAATAGAAAATCTGACTCATGTAACCAATCAGTTTTTTAAATATCTCTATTTTTATAAACAAATTCAAGCATTATTAATAATAAAAATAAATCTATTTCATTATAGCTTTCTAACAAATCCTCTCTCATATTGATAGAGGCTCTCTATGTCAAGCTATATTTATTTAAAAACAGCATTACTTTTTACCAATATTACCTTTATAAACTTGATGAGTGTTTAAAAAAATGAAGAATACCATAATTTTCATGTGGGTATAGCTTTATGTGGATTGTTGTTTATTAAAGTTTAGTGAAATTTTAATAAATTTTATTTATCAATATATACACAAAAGAAAAAATGTGGGCTGGAGATTATCAGGAGTAATGACCAAATACAGTAATTTGTTGATAACAGTGCTGAAACTTCGCTGTGTAACTAGTACAAATTTAGAAACCATCTCCAAAACTTAAAATTTGATTAGTGTGTAATGTTACACCCGGGCATTGCGGGCATTGAATTTTCAACACCAAGATTTTTTTCTATTTTATTAATAGCCTCCCTAAATTTTTCTAAAAGAAGGAATAAGTTCAAAAAAATTTATGTGTCAAATTTGGAGATTGCTGAGCAAAAATGGTTAAAATTAAGGTTTGTGGCTAATTTTATCAATAGAATTTTGACATTGATCACCAAAGATTTTGGAAAATGCACTTCCCAATTGATTAGTGTGATAAATCATTCAATTGTTATTGTTTTGTTGATTTTGTCACTTTCATCACTTTTGTCAAATTCTTCAAATGCAAAATCCTTCTTTGCCACATTTATTTTCATCATGTGATAAAAAAAGAGACATTTCATCAGCATGGTGGACATCCTTATAATTGGTAATGATTTCATAAATTTATATGTCACGTGAATCCGCTGTGACGAGATTAGTAGCCATATAGAAAGACCCCCATCCACAATCCGTTAACGTTGTGGAACAAATTTATTAATAAAATCCGTTATGGCAAACATTTTTAATTAATAAAAAAAGGGGCCAATATTTAAATCCGTTGTAACAAGAAATCCGCTGTGGCGAGGTCCGCTGTGACGAGGTTTGACTGTATTAATCGTCACAGTTTCATAAATAATTGTTATTTGTCACTGGCGCTATCTTTCGGATTTTATGGGTAATTGATAAAATCGTCATATTACGTGAACCTTGAAAGCTTCTTTCTGTCTACATAATTATTTCTGAAGTCTAATTAAAAAATGTGTTAATAAGTATTCCTTGTGGTGACTTTTTTCAGTTTGAGTTTCTTTTTTGGGCTTAAATTTAAGTCATGGTTGATGGAGGGTATTTTTGTGATCATTTTATGAGTAGGGTTGTTGATTAATAATGACAATGATAAAATTTCAATTTTTTGATCCATAATTTGTGCACAATTAAAAAAATTTATTATTATGTACTTGCTAATAATAAATTTGAATAATAATTTGCATTTCATTTGAAATATTTTAAAATTAACTAACAATTGAAATTATATACTCTTTTTTAATACTTTGCAAAAAAATCTTTTTTTTTGATAACAATCCTTGGACATGTCCGAGATATTTGTTGTTATATCAATTATGAAAAAAATATTGTTTTGTTAATTAGCATTTAATGCAATCACCAAAGCCGCTTATTATTCCATGAGTTATTGTCCACAAATTTTAATTAATATTAACTATCTATATACGGAAAATACATATACTGAAGAAAATCATATTAATATATAATAATAAAGAACATTAAACCGCCCCGAAAGTTTTGAGTGCTTGCTAAATGCTTGCTAAAATCTTTATCTAGCAACAATTAAAAAATAATAATAATAAAATAATAATAAATGTGAAAATGTTGATCATGCTAAAAACCAAACATTAATGAAAATCTGTAAGATGGATTATATCATATTAATATGAAAATTTTCCATAAATGTATGTCCAGCATTATTGAAATGAGGATCTTTTCAAGAAGGTAAAAGTAAAGGTTTTGATTTTTTTTCTAGATAAAATAAAGATTCAATCGAATACTTTTTTTATAATACATTAATTATTTATAAGCCTTTGGCTAACATAAAAATAAATGTTATGCTTCATGTTTTCAAGTTCGTTTAATTGATGTTTTAATATCCATGAAAAATGAATCATTCTTATAACTAACATAGGAATCTCTTGCAAGTGAATTCTCTGCAACTTTTATATCAAAATTAATATCTTGAATAAGGGAATCTAATTATATTAATAATGTTAATGTTATTAAATGAAATCTTGCATTTTAATAATTTTTTTAATATTTAGTATTTAATTTATACAAGCTTACCAACTGAAATATAATCACGTTCTGGTCTAATATAACCTAAAACAATCACTCGTAACTCTTTTCCATAAAATTCCTCTGAAAATTCATGCATTATATGAACCTCCTAATTAAAAATTTAATTAATAAAATGATTAAACATCTGTATAGATAAACGCATTATATGTATAATATATTGTCCTCTCATCACTTCTCTCATATGTCATTAATTGATGCCTACCGCACTTCTTTTCTCATTTTTATAATATGGATTCCATCCTAAACTCATCACCATCGAATACACATTGCTATTATCATTACTACTATTACTATTATTGATCTTATCATCATCATCATTACTATCATTGTCATTAAAAATTACTTGTGCCCATCCATAATAAATTCCTGGTTCCATACATTTACAAATTTCTTCAAATGATGTTTCTGGTAAATTTGCTATGTTATTAAATAAATAGTATGTTATATTAAGTAGTTTGATTAGAAGGGAATAGTACTACGAGAATTAATATAAAATCGGCATGTTTATTTACCTGTTGGAATTCCAAGCTCTTTACTACCACGTCCAAATCCTTTGATCACTTCACCTTTCATCTTAACGGGATAAGGTGTCTCTGGAACTTCTTGTCCAACTATTAATGGACGTGTATTATCATTTGACATGATTATTAAAAAAAAACGTTTTTATGACGTAAAAAAATATTAATACATCAATTTGTGCAATTGTGGCTTGTATTTTTTATCCCAAAAAAAAATTCTCTTTATTATAGCCACAACAAAAAAAAATTTGCACTTTTTTATTTGAAATAATTATCATGAGTGGTGTTACAAGTAGTATCAACTTGTCTAATAACAATAATATTAGTTTTATTAGCAATAATCTTATAGTATTATTAAATGTAAGTATACTACTAAGAAAAAAAAAAATCATAAAAAATTTTTTTTGTTATGTGTATATATATTTTTTTATAATTTTATTCTTTTTTTTTAAAAAAAAATACGATTTCCTTTTAAATTCTTTAAAAAATTTGCTTTATTTAATTCCTTTAGTTTTTTTTTTTGTGTTTTGGAAACCAAAAAAAAAAAAATATTGTAGAAATTAACGATCTAAATATTAATTCCGTAAAATTTTTCTATTTACTCTTATCATTTATATAATGTTTATATATAATAGAAAATACATAGAATGCAACAAGAAGGCGCTACTGAGCTTAATAATCCCGAGTTTGCTCAATCATTAAATATCTTACGAACATACCAACAACAACAGAAGAATCAACCGCAACAACAAATGAATCTGCAACAACAGTTGCAACATCAGAAAACAATTCAAGTGCAACAACAAGCATGTGAAGTGCATGCACTTCAACAACAACAACAACAACAACAACAACAACAATCAGCACCAATACAATCACAACTTAATGGTATAAATAATATTAATAACATTAATAACAATAATATAATTAATAATAACATTAATGATAATGTTAATAAAGTTAATAATAACAATAATGATAATACTGTTAATAATAAACTTACCAATGCAACAACAACCACAATAACTAATTCAATAATTAATAATGGTACTTATAAGAACAATAACATTAATAATAACAATGATAATAACACCGATAACGACACTGATAATGATTCTTCTTCGTTACAATTATCACAAGAACAACTAATAAAATTAAAATATCAGATGTTTGCATATCAATTAGTAATGCGGAACTTACCAATACCTTCATTGTTGATTGAAGTATTATTTAATCCAGAGAAATTAAAAGAACTAGTGTCAAAAGATCCAACCGATTCTTTAATTGAAAAAATTGTACAGGAATCACTTGATTATCATACTCGTCAATCCACTTCAGCTTCTGCATCTACTGCAGCCGTTGCATCATCATCATCATCATCATTAGCATCATCATCAGCTACTGCTCCATATGCATCTACATATTCTAATTCTGCTGTCAATCATCATCCTCCTACAACTACAACGACGACTACTTATGCATTTCAATCATCATCAACATCATCGGCAACTTCATCATCAGCATATTCCTCTTACAACAACAATAGCAGTAATCTTCACTACAATACTAGTAATAGTAATAATCATCAATATCAACATTCTAATCAACCGCACTATTATAATAATCCATATCAACAACAACAACAACAACAACCATATATAAAACCTCCTCCTGTAAACCTCTACTCACAAGCATCAAGACAACAAAGATTATTGATCCCTGGTGTTCCACCAATGGGAATTGATCCAATTATCATCGCTAAGGAACGTGAAACATTCATACAGACAAAAATTAATCATAGAATAAATGAATTAGAACAATTTTTAGAAAATAAAAAAGATGACAATGATAATAGCAATAATATTGATAATGGCAATGATTATGATGACGGTATTAGTAACAACTATGGTAATGGCTATGATTACATTGATCATAATATGGAATTAGATAATTGGGAATCATTAAATGAATATAAAAAAGCAGAGATTGAACTTCGACAATTAAAATTACGAAATTTTCAGAAAAAAGTAAATATTTTTTATATAATAATAATAATATACGTAATGTTTTAGCTTATATTATCTATTTTTTTTTTAATATTTAGGTTCGTCAAGACATTCTCAAATATAAAAATCAAGTCACTCTACTAGCATCATCAACAAATCGTTCCATTTACAAGAAATTAAAAAAAAAATCCATGCGCGACTTAAAATTAACTGAGAGACTAGAAAGGCAGCAACGTGAAGATTATCAAAAACATCAAAAACAAAAACATTACAGTTTCTTAAACAGAGTTTGTAATCATAGTCGCGAAGTAATACAATGGCATCGTGCAAATCAATCTAAAAAATTGAAATTTGGTCGAGCTGTTCTAAATTATCATGCTCAGATCGAGAAAGAAGAGTTGAAAAAGAATGATCGTTTATCAAAAGAACGTTTGAAAGCTTTGAAAAATGACGACGAGGAGGCTTACTTGAAGCTTATAGACAAAGCAAAGGATACTAGAATCGCTCATCTACTGGAACAAACTAATGCATATCTTGACTCTTTGGCACATGCTGTTGTTGCACAACAACATGATGAGGTGCATGATAATCCTTCTGTTAGAGGTGGGATTGAACTGATGGACAAAGATGATGACACATTTGCAATTATGAATGGTAAAAAAATTGATTATTATCAAGTTGCTCATAGAATTAAAGAAGAAGTAAAGCAACCAGCCAACTTAAGAGGCGGAACTTTAAAGGACTATCAAGTAAAGGGATTAGAATGGATGGTGTCATTATACAACAACAGATTGAATGGAATACTTGCCGATGAAATGGGTCTTGGAAAAACGATTCAGACTATCTCATTAATAACTTATCTTATAGAAAAGAAGAATCAAAATGGACCATTTTTGATTGTAGTTCCATTATCCACATTAACAAATTGGACAATTGAATTCGAAAAATGGGCACCGTCGGTCATAAAATGTGTTTACAAGGGTACACCATCTGCCCGTAAAGAACTACAAAAAGAATACGTCAAGCATATAAATTTCCAGGTCTTACTTACCACTTATGAATATATAATTAAGGACAAGTCAGTTCTAGGGAAAGTGAAATGGGTTTATGTGATTGTTGATGAAGGTCATCGTATGAAAAATGTCAATTCTAAATTGTCAATGATCTTGACCAATAATTATCAATGCCGTTATCGATTGATTCTTACTGGAACACCGTTGCAAAATAATTTACCAGAGTTGTGGTCGCTGTTGAATTTCATATTACCAAAAATATTTGATTCTGTTAAAAGTTTTGATGAATGGTTCAACACTCCATTTGCAAACACTGGCGGTCAGGACAAAATAGCTTTGAACGAAGAAGAATCGCTGCTTATTATTAGACGTCTACACAAGGTACAATTGATGTTAAAATATTTTTTATTTGTTATTATAATAATGATAATGATACACAGCATATTTATGCTAACAATATAACTCATAATTTCATTATTTAGGTATTGAGACCTTTCCTTTTACGAAGGTTGAAAAAAGACGTAGAATCAGAATTGCCTGATAAAGTAGAAAGAGTGGTTAAGTGTAAATTGTCCGCTTTACAAATTAAATTGTATATTCAAATGAAAAAGCAAGGCGTTTTATTTGTAAATACTGGCGAAATGGGGTATGTATGATAATGATAATAATAATAATGTCAATGATAATAACGGCATCATTATTTGATTGATTGGTTAGTTGGTTGGGCTGTTAAGTTAATTAATATAACGTTTATAAATAAATATATTTATTTGAACTTTTATAGAAAAACTGGTATAAAGGGACTTAACAATACCATAATGCAATTAAGAAAAATATGTAATCACCCATTTGTTTTTGATAAAGTGGAGAAAGATTTAAATCCACAATATCCAATTTACAATAATGATCTTTTATATCGTGTTTCTGGCAAATTTGAATTGTTGGATAGGATTTTACCAAAATTTTTTAAGACTAATCACAGGGTATGTATATTAATAATGATAATAATAATATTATTATTATAGAATATATATTTTTTAAAAGAAAATATATTTATATATATAAAGGTCCTGATATTTTTTCAAATGACTTCTGTAATGACAATTATGGAAGATTTTCTAAATTGGCGTGGTTTTAGATATTTACGTTTGGATGGCACAACAAAGGTGAATAAATAAATTCAAATGCCATTCCTACCGTTAATATAAAAAATTTATTAATCAAACTATTAATCAAATATATACACATAAATTCATTCACTTAGGCTGAAGATAGATCTGGGTTACTAGAAAGATTTAATGCACCAGGCTCACCTTACTTTGTATTTTTATTAAGCACAAGAGCTGGTGGTCTTGGTTTAAATTTACAAACAGCCGATACTGTTATAATATTTGATTCTGATTGGTAATTAACTGTTTGTTCGTTTGTTTGTAATAATAAAAAACCCCCCATTTATTCATAATTTTTCTTTCTCACCATATTGTATGTAAATAGGAATCCACATCAAGATTTACAAGCGCAAGATCGAGCACATCGTATTGGACAAACTAAAGAAGTTAAAATATTAAGACTCATATCACAAAAATCTATCGAGGAAAGTATATTGGCCAGAGCACAGTATAAACTTGATATTGATGATAAGGTTATACAGGCTGGTAAATTTGACAATAAGAGTACTGCCGAGGAACGTGAAGCTCTATTAGTATGTTTTTATTTATTGTATCATTATTATTAAATTTTTTTGAAAAGAAAGACAATATATACTTACATTTTCAAATCTATGACAGCGCTCGTTATTGGGAAATGAAAATGAAAATGATGAGGCAAATGACGTAAACGATGAGGAGGAGATGGATGATGATGAATTGAATGAATTGATATCTAGGAATGATGAAGAGCAAATGTTGTTTAAACAGATGGATATTGAAAGGAATCAAAAAGAGGAAGAGGAATGGCGAAAGAAGGGCGGAAAGGGCACCAAACCTGAAAGATTGATTCAGGAAAGTGAGTTGCCACCGATATACTTGAAAGATTATGAAAGTATTATGAGAGATGAAGAAGAGACAACCACTTTGCTTGGTCGTGGTAAAAGAGCTAGAATTGACGTTAGATATGATGATGGTTTGACAGAGAAACAATGGATGAATGTAAGTATTAGAAATAATAATGATACTATTAGAAAGATTGGTAATTAGTATTAATTGAAAATGATTTAATATTTTGTTGATTTCATTTTTAGTCACTTGAGGATGATGAAATAGATGAAATGAAGAGACTTGAAACAAAAAGACGCCGTAAAGAAAAAAAGAGTCATGAAAAATCATTAGAACAAGAACAAGTGCAAATGTCATCATCGTTGTCTTCTTCTTCTTCTTCTTCACTACAACAACAACCAAACATCTCATTAACGCCACCAGATACAAACAACGACATAAATAACAATCTTAATAATATTAATAATACAGGACCAATAATTCCGAAGAAAAAAAGAGGAAGACCACGCAAACCAACTTATAATTAAAAAAATTAATTTTATTTAATAGGCAGCTTCCTTTTTTTAATAATTCATTAATAATTATTTATAAATATTAGTAGTAATAATTTTAAAAAACTAGATTAAAATATAAATATAATACAAAGACATATAATATTCATCACATACATGTACATATAATATAGACTTAAAGTGTGATTGATTAGCTTTTAATTTTTTTTTTATTTCAAAAAATAAAAAAACTTTTTCTATTACAATAACAGCAGTGGTACCAATATCAAACATTTTTGTAGCATTTTGATGGTCAAAAAATATCGAGAGATCATGATCAGTGTTGTACATGGGACATGTCCGCGTAACAATTTGTCATGCGGACGTGTCCGTCTCCACTGACAACACTGATGGATCATGATCAACAATCTAGAAAGAGTTATTATGCAACCATTAAACAGAAATTATTATCAGAAAAAATTATTTGTCACGCGACCATAAAAATCATTATTATAGTGTTAATTAATCAGCTTTAGAAAAGAGAAGATGGTTAAATGATATGGAAAAGTGGAAAAGTTGTTATGCAATCATCATTCAGAAAATATTATCAAAAAATGCAACAATCAGGAATGATTATTATGGTGTTAATTAAGAGATCCTGGTCAAATTGAAGAGAGTTGCACAACCATTAATTGTTGTTACATTATTATTATTCCAATGTAACACCATTCATTATCTGAGTATACATACGCCAATTGCGCTCCTATCCAAGAACTTCTTTTAAAAGTTAGTAAAATACTTGAACAGAAAGAAAATATTAGCTGGAATAACTATTGTTGTTCCACGCCTTCTCCAAAAACCGATTTTGGTCTGTAATTTTCTCTACTTTTCATGTGAATTACAGATTGACAATGTGGAAAACTAAATTTGGAAACTTTGTATATATATATAGCACCCAGCAGCATAGCGGACATTTGCATATTTGGTAATGATTTGCGTCAATCACATTTTGATTTTATCACGTAAAAAAGAATTTTGATTGGGCTGAATATCATTACTAAATTAACAATTACACAAAATCATTAATTGTGCACAATCATTTTTTGACATTAATTAATTTTTTAAACATAATAAAGTTGTTTTTAGCTGTTAAATTATATTTTTATACATAAAAAAATGTGATGAGATAGATACATAAAATAAAAACACATTATAAAAATAATAATAAGGAAATTAGAATTGTGCAAAAATATGGGTTTACAATTTTTTTTTTGAATTCAACATCTCTATTTTTTGTAAATAAATAAAATTCAATGTCATTATAACAGTAACAGTAGTGACTTGTTCTTCCTTATCCATATTCAAATATTCATAATGTTATGGAAATGATATTTGATTCTTATTACAGGTCACTCCAGTTATAAGGACATTCATGGGACAAGCAAAAAATGTCCGTATAATGAGATGTTCTTATAACGGGAGTTCATATAAAATCACATGACTTGAAAAATGATTATAAAATTTTTTTAGAAATTATTATTTTATTTTAAAATCAACAATTTAGCAAAAGTTTATAATTATAATCATTAATGATTAAAAGGTTTGGAAAAAACGTTTTTAAAAATTTGCAAAAATTTTTAGTGTAAGTATTGAATAATTCATAATTCTTTTATAGTCTTGTTTGAAAATGTTATCAAAAAAAAAATTGTGAATAAATTTCTTTATTGTCAAAAATGTAAAATATTTCATCACCATAAGTATTTCATCATCAAAAAATAATAAGAGATCAATCAAAAATGTAAAGATACTTTGTTACAATTCAAAAACCCATTCTTGAAAATAATAGATACTTTGTCACCACCAAAACAATTTGTGAATTGATTATTGTTAATTTTAGTGTTAATAATAATAATAAACTTGATGTAAGTAATTTGTGTTGTGTTTAGTATTAATAATATTAAAACATTAAAAATGTAAATAATTAGCTGTCATTGTGATTTGATTGATTTGATTGGTTCTCTTGTTGTACTGACATGTCTTTATGACAGATGTCATTATAATGGGATAAATTTATAATTATAAAAAAATTTTTTGTCCAATTATGTCCTTATACTCTTATAACAGGATACATAATGAATGTCATTATAATGGGAGTAAGTTTATCTTTCAAATTAATATTAATACTTTTAGATTTATTTTTTTTATTAATGCAATAACATTTCATGTAATTAAATATATAAATTTGTTTCCATAAATCATTATAACATAAATTATTACACAGATACTTGAAAGTGTTACAATATTCAAAAGTGTTATGATATTTGAATATATAAAAATTATTTGACATCAATTTCAAAGTAGGGTATCAATGATGGAATTGCTTATAATTAAACAAAATGTATAAAAGAACTCTGAATTCCATGTAAAAATAAATTAGTTTTAACAAATAAAATTATTATATAATAGTCTATTCCTAAATTTTTAAATTAATATAGTTGCCACCATCACAACTGATTTGATGATTACCTATTTCTCTTGTGCAAAATAAAAATAATTATTTTAAAAAAAATGGAAATTCCAAAAAGTAGAAAACAAAATAATGGATACTTATATAAAGCCTCAACTAAATTCTAATGATCAAAATTTTTGGCAGTTCATAAAGCTGACATTTCTTCCATGTGGTCATATTTATCATGAACATTGTTTACAACATCATGACTACAAGTGTCTATATTGTTTAAAATACATAAAAAATCAGATTAATATCAATGTAGAATCTATTAATAGACTTACAAGTGAAAAAAATTTTCCAATAGAAGATGATCCCGAAGATGAAATTCAATCATTAGAAATTGATGAACCTGAGGAATTACAAATGGCATTTAATCTTCAAGCTGAGATTGTGTTTAATACAGCACTTCAAGAGTTCCTAAGGAATTAGATTTAATATAATAAATTTTTTTTTCTTTATTTATATATTATTGTTACATGTATAAATTTAGAAGTTCTTTAGAATAACTAACTACCTTTTGAAATCCTTTTATGTATTAATATAACATCTATGTACAATAATAATAAAAATTGTATTTGGTGTATATATACTATGTCTTGTAACTAACCAAATAAATAAGAAAAATATTAATA